TGTATGACATTTCCTACAGAGAATCATCCTGTCCTTTGTCTTATAGTGCTAGCAAAATGTGCAAATAAAATCTACTGACATATATTTTGCTTACTTTATGTATGAAATATGTTAATGTTTAAAAATGATGAAATATACAGCAAAACAAGAAAGTATTTATTGACATCATCACAATGCTGGACTGCAATTTGTAATCATATTTTTAATTTATTTAATTTAAATTATATGCTCTCCATCTCAAATTAGTAGTAACTTGCCCCTATACATCATGCTTTTCCTTTAACAATCAGTTCGTGCAGGTGATCTATTAACTGCTTTCAGGGTAAAATTTTGAATTAAAACAACACAACTTCCAGTTTGCATAGGATGTTCGTATACAATTAATCGAGCCTCCAGCTCCCAAGGTTTCCATATCTGGTCTGTGATTTCATCTATCTAACTCTGTTCTGGAGATTAAGGAAAGACAGACGGATAGGCAGATGACAGTGGGAATTTATAGGTCTACAATTTTTTCAAATTGCAGCCCAATGTATGTGGCATTGCAAATTGTTTAAATCTGGATTTGAAAAATGTGGTAGGTAAATCAGCTTTGTGTTTTCTCAAAAAATAAGCTGAAGGCATTTGAATTCTGTTGCTAAGTCACAAAAAATGCTTTATATAAAAAGTTTCAATAACATGTAACTATTGATAGTTATACTACATATCATCAATTGATGCTATTCTAATCTAGCACGTATTTAGATATTAACACAGACATCCTTAAAACTTGTTAAACATAATTTATTTTAAATCTTTATCAAATATTTTGAACAATAATTTGCTATTTAAAATATTTGCAAATTGTTCAAGATTTTAAATAAAGTACAAATGCCTTGTATATAAGGGACATTTATGCTATTAAATTTTGGGAGTTAAAGGTCAAGGGATAAAAGATGGAGGGATAGAAGAGTTACATGTATTATCTCAAATGGGGTCAGACAATGCCAATTTTACTTGTTATTAGCATTTATAGTTTTTTTTATAAAACTCATCTCTACGCTCAAAATTAAGCTTTTGCCATTTTATAATAATTAATAATACAAGTTATTTCTTAACAAATCTTCTAACAGATAACACAGCAGATAATTTTAAGTTTGTTATAATATAACTTAGTGTTTTTCACCAGGAAAGTTAAGCAACTAGTTACTGGATTTTTTTTGCAGTTGGTTTTGTTTAAATAAATTTAGGTGTCAAATTTCATAAACATTAAAGGCAGCATATATTTATGCTATCTAAAAAGTTTAAATATTTAATCTGAAAAAAATTTTCTATCTTAATCAAAAATTTACTTTAAAATATTTGTAGCAGCTTAAAAGTTAAGTTAAAAAAGCATATAAAACACATCAAAGAAATTTGGTCATTTCAATTTTAGTCTTCTGATATGAGATTTACAAGTAAAATTAAATCTTCAAGAATGTTTTTTTTTTCAAAACAAAAAATTTTCAATATTTTCCATTGAGAAAAATATTTATAAACATAGCATTTGTAAACGTTCAATTTTCATGATTAATTTTTAAAGTACAGTATTTAAATGTCATTTTTCAATGTTTACAAAGTTATCTAAATGCACATTCTGATGTATCTGCAAGCAAACTTTTGAAGTAGCAAAAGAGTATTTTATAGATAGTTATATTTACTTAGTTACATTATTTACTTTTAATTTCTATTATTTTAAAGTGATTTGTTACACAGATTACTATCTCAATAATTTCTGTTTTAGTAACTAATTTGTATAATCGTGATTCTATAAATTAGTAAAGATTGATAATTTTTAATAACAATAAAAGGAATAATACTAATTTACGCAATTTTAATTTTGGAAAATTATCTCTAAATGATTATGACATTACTACTGTTAGATGATGATGACTGTAAAGATGAGAAAATATGCTTTAACTCAGTAAAATGTCTGTATAGAGTTGATCATAATAAATTACTGTACTAATATCCACCTTCTCATTTTCCATGTGGTCAGAGAAAACATCTGCTAATTTCAACTTTCATAAACTCAGATGACCTTTACCCCCTATTAGTCCAAGTTAGCAAGGGGACTTTTTGTATTAGTTTTTTTTAAATGAATTTTTAGTAACAACGTAGCAAAACTCATTTGTTTCAATTAGTTCCAATCAATAATCTGATACTCAATATTTTTTACTAAAGACAAGTTACACGACTGAAAAATCAGATAAATTATAGTAATAATAAAAATTGAGTTTGTCATAAGTTTTTACTAAATATTTCTATAACTCTAATTATATGCAACATTTACTGATATTTAATTAAGAAAATAAAAGTAAAATATATAAAATAAACTTTGTGAAAATGTATTTATATTGTATATTTATTAAAAATAAATTAGTTTGATCTATATTGACAGCAACAATGATGTGTTCATTCAGAATACATAATAGTTGATAACAGATTTTTAATGTTGTGACAATCATTTTGAATAAATGTTTTTCATAGTCAATCATAAATATAAACTAACATTTTCCAAAGTATGGCCTGTTAGTTCAGTGGTGCCTCAAAATTTAATCTTGGAAAGCAAAGTAGAATAAATAAAAAAATTTAGCAGACATTTTATTGAATTCATATTAATTTGTAAATAATATAAGACACAACATAATAAAAATTTTTAATTAGGAAAAAACTTTTGGAAAATTTACTAGTGTCTATTCCTTTTACTTTGGGGATGCCAGGGCCCTTAGTCCCCCCTCTGGGTGTGTCACTGTTACTTAATACAAGTCATATGGAAAAAAATACTGTTCTAAAACTGATAAACACATTCCATGTCAAATTAGCACAATTAATAAATACACACTGTCATTCAGCATAAATTTAGTTTAATCCAAATGTACACAAGTACTTTCAACATTTCGATTAAACTAAATGCTGAAAGCACTGAAAGCATGTGTATTTATTATATGCTGTTCTGCATAAAGCTTAAAAATTAAAATCTGAAGTAACAAAGTAATAAATTTTTAATAAAAATAAATTTGAGGTTAGTGTTTTATAATTATTATTTTAAAATATGATATCTTATTTTAAGATATCTTACAAGTTTTTGATTGTTCTAAAGTAACTAATTATGATGAAAATTGTCACACAGGTGCCACACATTTTTAAATTGAGGTAAATATAAAAATTATTGAAAACTGCTAGTCCGAACTAGAAAAATTTGGGAACTGATCTAAATTATTGGATGTAACTTATATATTTCAACAGTCAATTTTAATTATTGATAATGGTTATCATAGTTTTTGGAAAATGGACCTGAACTATCCTAATAATCTACCAATTGAATGATTAACACAGAATTTTAAGTAATTTCAATAATATGACTTCACATAATTTAGTTTAAAATTTGAAAACACTACCACATTAAGACTATATTGAACATATCAGAAAAATAGCATGGAAGAACTATGCTTCAACACAGTCATTCCAATCAAATTCTAGCCAAAAACAACAGTCAATGAATCAAATTAACTGACAGCTACAAAGTTCAAATTTAAATATTTTCTTAAATTTAATTTAAATCAAAAGTCTTTTCCATGTGTCAAATAATTTTATTTCATATTATAAGCAGGCTTTTTAATTTTGGATCTAATCTTAATAAATTTAATTTTTCAGTTTCTAGAAACCAAACCCTTATCTTAATTGAAACATTTAGCAATATTAAACAAAATATTTAAATATACTGTATACAAATATAAAAACTTATAAAATCAAATGCAATTTTTTTAACATCAAGCAACAAGTGTACTTTAAAAATTTATTATTAAGGTTACTCTTTTTGAGATTTTCATATTATTTATCAGACAAAACTAATTTATTAAACTAATAAATAAAAAAAATTCTCTCTAATTAAAATAAACCATTGTTAAAAATTTACTTTATACTTTAAAATCAACAAATAAAATTTTTAACAATTAAATAAAAAGTAAAATTATTTAAAGTAATTTTCTGCATAGTTAAACAATGCTTAATTATTCTGAAAATTCTTTTAATCAACAATTTGGCACAAAAAAAAATGTTTACAGTATTTTTATTATTATTGCCATTAGTAAAAAATTGTCAAAGCTTAATAAACTTTAGACAAACATTTAAAAACAAAACTCTTAATACGAATATCGAAAATCATGGTAACGTAATGATAAATATATTGCACAATACTACAAACTAAACAGTACTAAACGGCAACCGAGGATTTATATTAAGACGCTCGAAAAAACCATCTAAATTGAAATCAAGGAGCCATTTTAAATAAACTGCACCTAAATATAAATATTTGGAAAATTTCGGTTTGTATTTTTAAGAGATTTAAAAAAAAAAAAAAAAAAAAGATTTAAACTTATTATTTTGGCAAAAAATCAAAGTAAAATTAAAGCTTATGAAATACTTACTATATTACATTATTATATAAACAACATTAATTTGAATAAGAAAAAAAAAACAAAATTACAAATCATTCTTGAGAAATCATAATGATTATATATTTATCACATAAACAATTAATACACACAGCAAATAATTCATATTAAAAAAATAATTAGCATAATATTAATATTAATTTCTATCATAATTTGTATAATGTAAAATTTACAGTTGCATTCATTGCATATTTAAATTGCTATCACCTACAGCATCCCGCATAAGACTAAAGATGCGAAGTTGCATTCAAAATTTGGAATTTAGTAGTAAAAAAAAAAGAAGGTGATAGCAAACCTTTACCCAATGAAGCCTCCACCTGTTTCAATGTGGACTTTTCATTGATCATCTTAAACCATTACGATTATTTAATTGCATTCAATATCTAATATACAATTATAAATTAACCGGATGACGGCTTTTAATAACTTATCAAATGTTTAATTCGAACAAATAGCTAAATTAAAATCCGACAAATGGAAAATCTCGTTTCTTCACCAACTATCCGCCATGTTGGTTTATATACCAACCTCTTTCGGGAGGAAAACTTGTAAGTTGTTCCTCTTCCCGACTTGCTTGAGTTATAATGGACGTACTGTCCATTTAGTCCGAGTCTGTAAACGTCGGCAGGGTGGCTTCCTTATTTTTGCCCAACAGACAGATATCCAATCAAACTTTTTTTACCAAAATTACACTCAAGATGGACANTTCATGGAGAACCACCATCAGGTTTTGATTCATATAGAACACAATAGCTTTTTAAATAATACATAGAACAGAATATATTTAAATTTAAAATATATGTGTGCACACTATGCTAAAAATTTAAAACAAATTTCAAAAAATAAAATTGAAAATAAGCATATATAAATGTTCAAATATACATTTATATTGAAAATATCTCATATTTTAGATATTAACTTCAAAGATGACTGTATATTCTCATTTCTTTATTATTTAAGCTGTAAATTTTAAATTCCAAATATTAGATATAGTTTTTGTTCTGCAATTTTTCTCTCTACATTTATCTGTAATAAAGACAGTATGTGATGTTAACTTTATTGCATAGTTCTTCAAATACTAGAACTTGTGATATTAAACTGATGTAGTTCATTGATATAATTCTACATCAATAAAACTTCAAATTTTTTTAGTATTTTGAACATATAAGCATCCTCTAAATTTCAGTTAAATTGCTATTTCTACCAACTTGATTTAGATTAGTATTATATTTGAATGCTATCTTTATATATGAACATCTTGAGATAACAGAAAATATTTCATAATAAATACTTTTGGTTTCCTGAAGAAAGTAATTTTGTCCTTTGTTTACCTTCTACTGGTGTATCTATTGATTTTTGTATGCAAAAGTTTCAGGATTATGGTAATAATTTTTATTATATACAGTAGAGCATCGTTTATCCGAATCAATTAGGGACTGGGGTTGTTCGGATAACTTATTTTTCGGATAACCGATTATGTACGAAAAAATACATTAACCTATCCCGTGTTGAAATTTTTCTCTGTTGCGTGGCGCTTTGCGTTTAATTTTCGTTGATGTTAAGCCTAACATATACTTTTTAAAATAATAATCGTGGCTATTGTATCGTAAAAATTATTTCTTTATTTTTTACAAACAAAATAAATATATTGAAAAATATAAAAACAAAAATAATTTATACTTTAGGAGTTATCTAGTATCAAAAACGTTCAATTCAGCATGACACACAGTCCTCAGAAAAACACCATACAAAAGTGATAGTGCTGCCAGCTAAAACACATACACAAACATAAAAAATATTGGAGTAGCCCAAGATATAGCCAAAGATTGAAGCGCCACAGCACTAGCAAAAATTTAAATTTGCTGACAGGAATCTTTCAAATAACCGACGTTTCGGATAACCGACGCTCTACTGTAATATTTTTCTAAGTCAACGAATTTTACAAAAAACGGATGAAACTTTCGATTTTGAAAGGAAGTTGATTTCCTTTTCCAGGCGGACTCATGATGAGTCGCATAAGTTTTTACACACGTTACTGGAGAGCAAGTAAAATGGACGTTTTCCCGCCACTCAAAGCAGTCCGTCGAAGAAGATATTGCCACACGATAAAGGCAGTTTGTCGAAAAGAGGTTTGTCATACAAGGCTGATTTACGAATCCAAAAAGAAGTCATTAAAATATCGTTATAGAGTATTACATTCGAAGAATACAAGATTATTAATAGAGAAGATTTAAAAGAACTGTCCATAGAAATTATAGAGAAAGAAATAATCAAGAAAGGAAGAAGACCCTCATATAGATACAGAAAAAGATACGAAAGACCTAATTAAATTTCCTTCGCTCCTCCCACTCGCAAGTTAGGGATAACGCGTGTTAATCCGCATGTAAAATAACTGATTAACTGGTGTCGGGAATCCTGACGAGGAAAAGGGTGATTACGCGATCATCTAATTCCGCTTTAAATTAACATTCAAACTGTAAGTCCCTCCGCACTCGATTTCTTTCAATAGAAAAACCATTCTTTTAGACAAACAGAGGGCTATTCGAGAGAATAGCTACCGATTAAGTAATACTTAGGTCATAGTTACTACGTATCCCGGCTAGCCCTTCACAATTACTTTCATTTCTATATTCAGAATAAGCAAGAATTCACGAATTTTCTGTTTTTAGGGAATTTTTGAAAATTGGAAAAATGGGGCAAACGAGAAGAAATAGGAACATATGGCCCATTTCTTCTCGGTTTCCCCATTGTTCCATTCCAACTGCCCTAATGTACGTTCACCCATTGACAGTTGATCAGCTAATTAGATAAGAACTATAAAATTTCAGCCAATTTTATTTTGAGCCTAAATTTATAAAGAACATTCAATGTAGTTCAAAAATCAAAAGACGAATTAAATTTCATTTAAGCTTAATTTCGAGCGGAATAAAAATTTTGTTATTTTAAAATATATCAAGGAAAGGTATTACTCACCTTATCGACACTCGATAAGTAAACTAAATACATGAAAATTGAAAGAAAAATGACCATGACACAAACTTTAATTACGATTGTTTCGTTCTCGTCCGATTTGGAATTTCTCAAAATACTTTTTCCTAAAGATATTTTGATGCAGATTACGTAAGTTAAAACAAAAACGGTTTGTCGATTCTGAATGAAATTGCAGAATTCCAAAATGTCTTTTAAATTTTGTACGCATTTCCATATACGTCTTAAAGTAAGGATTGTTCTTTGTGTACAATATTCGTGTAAACACGAAAGTTGCATTTTTATCAGTTCGCACATCGATATAAGGAGAAACATACAAGAAGCTTACACGGAACAAACATAAAATATATTTATGCTGAATGTGAGTAAACAAAAACTATCGGTAAGAGTCCATTTGTTTTCATTCATTGATAAGTAAAGTATGGCGTGCACACACAGGGAGATCATATCATTTCCCAGAATCAAAATTGTCCAAATCATAATAAGTATTTGTTGAAATTTTAGAAGTTTCGATAATTGAGTGTATCTGAAGAAAGAATCATTGATTAAGTCTCTTAAGACAATCCCATACGTTGTGAATTTCTTTTTGTAATCTTCAGAATTCCACATTCGTAGAAATTGCCAGTTAACTATATTAATTACAAATAGCGTAAACTTCATGCTGCTCGCGTGTTGTCTGAAACACGCAGAGAAATCACAAAGAACCAACGCAATACGTTCATCTTCAATGTAAAAATTTACGAAATAAATTATGGCTTTAACGAAAAATAATATTTTCACCATAAAGACGTAGACAGATATAAATTTACTTTTATTTCTTTTTGAAAAAGAAAGATCGCAACCAGAAATTTTCAACAGTAATAATAAAGGAGAGAAAATAACGTCTGGTAAAATTTGCTCCTCGTCCATTTTTGTGTTTCTTCTTCGATCTCTTTCGAGAGAAATATACCTCATAGGAAATAAAATCGATAAAATACATTAACTTCTAAGTGAAGTTACTTCCAGGTAAGAGAAAGAACGTAAAGAATAAATGCAGGAAAAAATCGATCAAATTTTTAACGATAACAAATATACATTACCCTATTATGGTAATGCACCAACTAATGGATTTTTAAAAATATTATATGTATTAATATGTATTATATTATATGTATTACTATGGAAACTAATGGATTTTTTAAAATCCATTAGTTTCTATAGTACAGGTAACCCCCGTATAACACGGTAGTTACGTTCCAAAAAATTGCCGTGTTATGCGAATTCGTGTTATGCGAAACAAAGAACTAATACGAAAAGGAGGGTTAGGTTCCAAAAATTAAAAAGCATGCTACTATATTTTCATAATTAAAATAAATATCTTTATTAAATTTTTTTTAAGTGATACATATTAATATAAATTAAACAATGTTTTATTTGTCGTCACTAAAAGCACTATTAACCGAAAGCGTTTTATTTTTGGCAAGTTATCGTTATCCTCTGAGCATTTTTCTGCATTATTTTCAGATTCACGCTTTACCTTTTGCAAAAAGTGTATATAATTTTAGACTGCTTGCTTCTAGTTAAAAGATCTTTATAAATTTCCTTATATGGTGCTAAGCACTTACGGAATAAGGGAAAAACATCTGGCAACACCAGAAGCAGAAGCGTCGAGATTTGGCAAAATTGAAACAATTTTCGCGAAGGACTATGTATATGGAGACGAGAAAGGAAAACTTACATACTGAAGTACTAATAGTTCACGAAAATTATCATTTTCGTTAACTATTAGTACTTAAGTATGTAAAAATTTATTACATTTCATGTTGTACGAGGGTTTTACCCATTTCTCGAACCGTGTCACAGTGAATCCGTGCTATAAAAGTACCGTGTTATACGGGGGATGGTAACAATTCTCGAACCGTGTTAGAGTGAATCCGTGCTATAGAAGTGCCTGTTATACGGGGGTTACCTGTAATACATATTTGAAATTGCATGCTACTCATTATTGAGGTATGTTTTGAAAAAAACGTTTATAATGGAAAATGCAGAAAGTTTGGTTGTTATCTTTTATGTAATATAAGCAGATTGCTAATAATATCTTCTATATTATATTTACGATAATCTTACATTATTTGGAAATTAACGAAAATAATTCCAAATATTCATTTTATACGAATTTATTTAATAAAACCACACATTTTGTTGATATTTTGACAATGTTTTATCAGTTGTAAAATTTCTGTCTTACTTTTAGCACTATACGTATTCAATGTTTTAGACATATTTTGTTGAATTCTGTCTTATTTATATTTTTTGCGATGTTTATTTGTTTTTTTATGTCGGTTAATTTCCTGTTTTTGTATTTTATTTTTTGTTATGGTCCTTCTTATTTACTAGAGAAAAGATCTGCTGTCTAGTGACATTCCTAAAGTACTTGAATTAAATAAATAAATAACCTATTTATATCAATATATAACTTGATTTTCGATGTATTGAATAGAATCAATAAAGAAATCTAAAAGTTTCTTTCGTGCTATCAATGCTGAACGTTTTTATTACTCATCATTCGGCAACCAATCTGACGTAGTCAGGACCGTTTTTATTATCTCCCAGACCTTTGCAATGAATTTCATATCAAGTGAATGTTTTACTCAAATAAATATTACAATTTCCTTTTATAAATAAATTTCTTTACTGCCTTGGAAGCGTGTAAAATGCTAGATCATGCAGGAAGAAACACTTGTCAAGGAACTATACAGATGGAATTGTTATTACGTTATTTAATGTACGGATCTCCTGGGCCTGCAAAAATAAATAAAATTATGTCGTGTGTAAAGTGAGACCAGAGTTAACAGAGTCTCCGATATAATTTTAATATATAAGATATTCAAGCCATTCGAGGTAAAATTTATATTATATAAAATGTATAAANAAAAATTTTCTATCTTAATCAAAAATTTACTTTAAAATATTTGTAGCAGCTTAAAAGTTAAGTTAAAAAAGCATATAAAACACATCAAAGAAATTTGGTCATTTCAATTTTAGTCTTCTGATATGAGATTTACAAGTAAAATTAAATCTTCAAGAATGTTTTTTTTTTCAAAACAAAAAATTTTCAATATTTTCCATTGAGAAAAATATTTATAAACATAGCATTTGTAAACGTTCAATTTTCATGATTAATTTTTAAAGTACAGTATTTAAATGTCATTTTTCAATGTTTACAAAGTTATCTAAATGCACATTCTGATGTATCTGCAAGCAAACTTTTGAAGTAGCAAAAGAGTATTTTATAGATAGTTATATTTACTTAGTTACATTATTTACTTTTAATTTCTATTATTTTAAAGTGATTTGTTACACAGATTACTATCTCAATAATTTCTGTTTTAGTAACTAATTTGTATAATCGTGATTCTATAAATTAGTAAAGATTGATAATTTTTAATAACAATAAAAGGAATAATACTAATTTACGCAATTTTAATTTTGGAAAATTATCTCTAAATGATTATGACATTACTACTGTTAGATGATGATGACTGTAAAGATGAGAAAATATGCTTTAACTCAGTAAAATGTCTGTATAGAGTTGATCATAATAAATTACTGTACTAATATCCACCTTCTCATTTTCCATGTGGTCAGAGAAAACATCTGCTAATTTCAACTTTCATAAACTCAGATGACCTTTACCCCCTATTAGTCCAAGTTAGCAAGGGGACTTTTTGTATTAGTTTTTTTTAAATGAATTTTTAGTAACAACGTAGCAAAACTCATTTGTTTCAATTAGTTCCAATCAATAATCTGATACTCAATATTTTTTACTAAAGACAAGTTACACGACTGAAAAATCAGATAAATTATAGTAATAATAAAAATTGAGTTTGTCATAAGTTTTTACTAAATATTTCTATAACTCTAATTATATGCAACATTTACTGATATTTAATTAAGAAAATAAAAGTAAAATATATAAAATAAACTTTGTGAAAATGTATTTATATTGTATATTTATTAAAAATAAATTAGTTTGATCTATATTGACAGCAACAATGATGTGTTCATTCAGAATACATAATAGTTGATAACAGATTTTTAATGTTGTGACAATCATTTTGAATAAATGTTTTTCATAGTCAATCATAAATATAAACTAACATTTTCCAAAGTATGGCCTGTTAGTTCAGTGGTGCCTCAAAATTTAATCTTGGAAAGCAAAGTAGAATAAATAAAAAAATTTAGCAGACATTTTATTGAATTCATATTAATTTGTAAATAATATAAGACACAACATAATAAAAATTTTTAATTAGGAAAAAACTTTTGGAAAATTTACTAGTGTCTATTCCTTTTACTTTGGGGATGCCAGGGCCCTTAGTCCCCCCTCTGGGTGTGTCACTGTTACTTAATACAAGTCATATGGAAAAAAATACTGTTCTAAAACTGATAAACACATTCCATGTCAAATTAGCACAATTAATAAATACACACTGTCATTCAGCATAAATTTAGTTTAATCCAAATGTACACAAGTACTTTCAACATTTCGATTAAACTAAATGCTGAAAGCACTGAAAGCATGTGTATTTATTATATGCTGTTCTGCATAAAGCTTAAAAATTAAAATCTGAAGTAACAAAGTAATAAATTTTTAATAAAAATAAATTTGAGGTTAGTGTTTTATAATTATTATTTTAAAATATGATATCTTATTTTAAGATATCTTACAAGTTTTTGATTGTTCTAAAGTAACTAATTATGATGAAAATTGTCACACAGGTGCCACACATTTTTAAATTGAGGTAAATATAAAAATTATTGAAAACTGCTAGTCCGAACTAGAAAAATTTGGGAACTGATCTAAATTATTGGATGTAACTTATATATTTCAACAGTCAATTTTAATTATTGATAATGGTTATCATAGTTTTTGGAAAATGGACCTGAACTATCCTAATAATCTACCAATTGAATGATTAACACAGAATTTTAAGTAATTTCAATAATATGACTTCACATAATTTAGTTTAAAATTTGAAAACACTACCACATTAAGACTATATTGAACATATCAGAAAAATAGCATGGAAGAACTATGCTTCAACACAGTCATTCCAATCAAATTCTAGCCAAAAACAACAGTCAATGAATCAAATTAACTGACAGCTACAAAGTTCAAATTTAAATATTTTCTTAAATTTAATTTAAATCAAAAGTCTTTTCCATGTGTCAAATAATTTTATTTCATATTATAAGCAGGCTTTTTAATTTTGGATCTAATCTTAATAAATTTAATTTTTCAGTTTCTAGAAACCAAACCCTTATCTTAATTGAAACATTTAGCAATATTAAACAAAATATTTAAATATACTGTATACAAATATAAAAACTTATAAAATCAAATGCAATTTTTTTAACATCAAGCAACAAGTGTACTTTAAAAATTTATTATTAAGGTTACTCTTTTTGAGATTTTCATATTATTTATCAGACAAAACTAATTTATTAAACTAATAAATAAAAAAAATTCTCTCTAATTAAAATAAACCATTGTTAAAAATTTACTTTATACTTTAAAATCAACAAATAAAATTTTTAACAATTAAATAAAAAGTAAAATTATTTAAAGTAATTTTCTGCATAGTTAAACAATGCTTAATTATTCTGAAAATTCTTTTAATCAACAATTTGGCACAAAAAAAAATGTTTACAGTATTTTTATTATTATTGCCATTAGTAAAAAATTGTCAAAGCTTAATAAACTTTAGACAAACATTTAAAAACAAAACTCTTAATACGAATATCGAAAATCATGGTAACGTAATGATAAATATATTGCACAATACTACAAACTAAACAGTACTAAACGGCAACCGAGGATTTATATTAAGACGCTCGAAAAAACCATCTAAATTGAAATCAAGGAGCCATTTTAAATAAACTGCACCTAAATATAAATATTTGGAAAATTTCGGTTTGTATTTTTAAGAGATTTAAAAAAAAAAAAAAAAAAGATTTAAACTTATTATTTTGGCAAAAAATCAAAGTAAAATTAAAGCTTATGAAATACTTACTATATTACATTATTATATAAACAACATTAATTTGAATAAGAAAAAAAAAACAAAATTACAAATCATTCTTGAGAAATCATAATGATTATATATTTATCACATAAACAATTAATACACACAGCAAATAATTCATATTAAAAAAATAATTAGCATAATATTAATATTAATTTCTATCATAATTTGTATAATGTAAAATTTACAGTTGCATTCATTGCATATTTAAATTGCTATCACCTACAGCATCCTGCATAAGACTAAAGATGCGAAGTTGCATTCAAAATTTGGAATTTAGTAGTAAAAAAAAAAGAAGGTGATAGCAAACCTTTACCCAATGAAGCCTCCACCTGTTTCAATGTGGACTTTTCATTGATCATCTTAAACCATTACGATTATTTAATTGCATTCAATATCTAATATACAATTATAAATTAACCGGATGACGGCTTTTAATAACTTATCAAATGTTTAATTCGAACAAATAGCTAAATTAAAATCCGACAAATGGAAAATCTCGTTTCTTCACCAACTATCCGCCATGTTGGTTTATATACCAACCTCTTTCGGGAGGAAAACTTGTAAGTTGTTCCTCTTCCCGACTTGCTTGAGTTATAATGGACGTACTGTCCATTTAGTCCGAGTCTGTAAACGTCGGCAGGGTGGCTTCCTTATTTTTGCCCAACAGACAGATATCCAATCAAACTTTTTTTACCAAAATTACACTCAAGATGGACAGACCAAGTTCATGGTGAAGATGGCGGATTAAGATCACTATGCGCTTGCGCCCAACCCTGTTAGTCACGTGGTTGTCTTAATCACGTGATCCGCCAAAAATATATCTTTTTTTTTTTTTTTAAGAAGTTTTAAATTAAAATATTAATTTTAATTCATTCGATCCATTACTAAATGAAACTACGCTTATATCGAACAAATTTATATTATATTAAAGTAAATTTGCTGATGTTTAATGAAAAATGACTATTTTTATGTGTTGTTTTTTTATGCGACACACGAGACATTTAAAATTAAAAGGCACTTTTCGTTCAGTACAAGTCGACCCCCCCTATAACACTGTTGATAATTCCATTTTATATGAATTCCATGTTGTATGAGTCACTTAGATTTTACAAATACGTGTGCCGGGTTGTGAACGGCTTACATATTTGTAAAATCTAAGTGACTCGTATAACATGGAATTCATATAAAACGAAATTATCAACAGTGTTATAGTATTTCATTTTGATATATCGGTCATCGGTGCAAATAGTTAAAAATCTAATTTTGATGATACAAGGGTTATTATCTTATCGATAATTCTGTTTATGAGTTTGTATTCCATCTGTAGGAGATTAAAAAATAAAGCATTTAAAAACAAAAAGATATAATGCAATACTGACTACTTACGCGATAAAAAAAAGAACGTTTTACAATTAAATATTTAATTACTTAGATATATTAATCATAAAAGTTTAATTGTTTATAATAGTAATAATATAAATAATAATAATAATATCCAATGTTTGAAATGTATATAAACTGTCCAAATTGGAATTTTTAAATACTATAGACGAGTAATGTGTTGCAAAAGAGAAATTTGGCATAGAGATTACGTAATTTGCAATCTGAAACTATTTATCAGTAAAGTTATACTTAGTCTAAGTTGATAAATGAGAAAATTCTTAAAATACATTTTGATTTTTTTTCCGTTTTTTATTACGTAAAAAAAATATCAAAATTTGTACGGAAATATTACGAATTTTAAAATTATAAAGTATACTTTTGAATGTCTTTATTGTCATCGTTACAAAACAATTACAATGAAAGTTATTAAATTATTAGTTTAGTGATGAAATTATATTCTTATCTGCTATTTTTTTTCTACGATTATGCAAGTCTTTATGTATATAGTTAACGTATTAAGGTTATTTAATTAGAATAATTCACAATTCTCTCTCTCTGTAAGAAAAATATGTTAGCACATTTTTTTTTTTTCTTATTGATAAAACTTCATTCTAGTTTATATTATTGTTGTGAGAACAATATCATATGTTTTCAATAAGGCATTTTTAATGTATTCTGTGTTGTAGCAATAAATCTTAAGCGTAGTTAGTGTTTAGCGCGAGACGTATGACGCAAACGGAGTAAATAATGTATGTTAAATATCAAATTCTATTCCTCTTTTCGCTGTTGCCATCTAGTAGTGAGTAAATAAATTATTACTCTAAGATATCTTTTAATATAATATAAATCGTGGTAAACATATGTATGTAGGCTATAGTATGTATGACCTGTGATTCTGTAATAAATTATATTTTAATAGTCCATTTTAAGCTGTATCTTAAACATTTAATAGCATAAATAAAATTATTAAAAAATGAAATTTAGACGCTAATTACATTTATATTGAAAATAATAATTATGATTATTACAAACTCCAAGAATTATAATATAGAAAATTATTTAAATTTAATTTCAATTAACCTTTTAAAAATTCATTATAGAGTAGAATGTGTTTTATTTTTAATTGAAAACTTTTGTATTTGTCCTAAATACTTCGTGTAAATAAATTAAACATTATTTTAGAAACTGTCCTAAAACATAAAAACAAATCATTTAAATTAAGTTATTTGTTTGGAAAAACAAAACAAAAAGTTTTATTCAGTAAATTTTCCGGTTTTGATAATTCTTTGTCCCTTTTTTTTTAATATAGCACATGTATTCATTGTTCTTTTGAATATAACTTTATTATATTTTTATTTCCATTTTTCTGCATATTTATGCAAATTATTTGCATGAAGTATTTCATTCCAACATGTTTTGATTTTATAATAATAATTGTGTTAGTATTATTTTCATATTGTTATACTTTAATAGATAATTTTTGTTGCATATTTATTATTTTCTTTTACATATTATAATATAATTATTTTTGTATTAGACTAATATGAAAATATCAATGAATCTTTAGCATTCTTTAATTTAAAATAAAAATTAAATTTTGTTAAATTGAAATACAGTCGACCCCCCTATAACACTGTTGATTATTACGTTTTATATGAATTCCATGTTGTACGAGTCATTTAGATTTTACAAATACGTGTGCCGGGCTGTGAACGGCTCACGTATTTGTAAAATCTAAGTGACTCGTACAACATGGAATTCATATAAAATGGAATTATCAACAGTGTTATAGGCGGGGTCGACTGTATTAATTCTGATCTGTGGAAAACGAATGCTCTTTAACTCAATACAATATTTCTCATTAATGATTAAAATCAAAATAAAAATCATTTAACTCATTTGTGTTAGATGAATGTCTCGTGAAGAGTTTGAAATAGAGATTTGAGCTTTTTAATTGCAAGAAATTTAATGAGGAATGGACGATGAGGATTACCTTCAATATAGTATTTTAAAATTATTATTTTTTTAAATCGGAAATTTAAATATGAAGTATATTGTCTTGTGTTCCGAAAATGGGTGATTTCTTCTATTTCTTGAGTTTTTTAATTCACTAATTTTGAAATTGACTTTAAACATTCAGTTGCATTAATATCTAGATTCAAATAACATTATATTATATAAATTACAAAAATGAAAATATTTTTTAAAACTTTAAAATAATTTATATAGGTAAAATAAATCTATTACTTGTAGCATTACCTACACGTCATTCGAATAAAACTTTGTATTATTTCCGATTATATTATCTATTTCCTGATTATCCATTCCATACATTGCGCTTGATTTCCTGTTACGGTGTCAAATTATCCGTTGTTCTCAGTATCAATTTGTGAGAAAGTTGGTCTATGATCTATCCTCATTATTTATCATATTTTTTCAATGTCTATCATTCAATGTCGTCCTTTAAAATGTCATCTTTAATTCGACGTTACGACTACGACTCACCCAAAAATTCCTTCTTAAATTTCTTTATCAAATTCACTAGAGCGTATAATAATAATTCGAAAAAAATATACTGGAATTTGCATTGTCTTAGGGATATAGTACGATTGATTGATTGTGTTTATAGGCCACTGATTATTTATTTGTGTCAGAATTAATGTCTGTAAATAAAGTAAAAGTTTATAGTCCTATTTACTTATATTTTTGCTTTCAATAAGATTTTTCTCATAGATTAACTGGTCATAAAAGTTAATTTATCTTACGAAAAATCGAATGTAAAATATATTCCGACTATATTTTTATGTTCGTAAGAGCATAATTAATCTATTTAACGCAACAGAATAACATAGCGTAATGCAGACGAGAAGAATGTTTTAATTGTTAAACATATTTTTCTTATTATAATTTTTACTTTTTATCATTATTTGAATCTTGCAAATTTAATTTATAATTATATATACATATATGTTAAATTTTACTACGTATAATTTACGTAAGCTACTATTTTCAAATAGGAATTTGACACTTTGAGACATAATTTACATATATTAATTGATTAGTTAAATGTAAAAATCGATATATAACCTTTTCGTTTTAATTCAGAAAGCAAAGAGAATATTAGGTCAACAAAACACTTTCAACACGTATCAATTAACAAATCGTAAAAGTTCTTTTATGCTTTCGTACTACATAGGCTTACAGTGTGACAGAATTATGACACGAGTCAATGCACTTTGCCTAAATTCAATTTTTTGATATGTTTTTCCCAGAGAATTTATCTTCTTCAGATTCAAGAGTAGGTCTTAAATATTAATTCACATTTTTTTACAATAATTTTTTATTCTTTAAATTATGCTATAGAATTTTTATCGTATTTGAGATTTAATTAAAATGTTTAATGACCTATTTATCGGCATCTATTTTAATATGTCGAATAAGATATTTTTCGTTGTTTTATTAATGGTTATTTTTGATAATTATTTTTATTTTCGAGTTATTATTTAATTGTCAAATCGTCATTCCAAAGTGTATTCTACACACTTTCGTTTAATTTTCACTATTCAATAAAGTCTTTTTTAAACCTTAAGCTTGATAGCTCTAACATTGGTTAATAAACCAACGTGTAGAATAAGCACAGATGGTCCAAATTATTTTTTTAATGGATAGAACGTCGATTGAAATGACGCGCATCAATTATACTTCCCTCTAATTATATTGAAATGTTATTGTTAAACGAAACTTGATAGAAAATTATATACGGTATATATTGCAAAAAGATAGAAGGAAATCAGTTTTTATGAGGTAAATACACGATTAAATATTATTCGTCCCTTTACAGTTTGGTAGTTAAAGCGAAGTTGAAAGCACTGCTACGATCATTTATGCCACATTAATGCTTTCGTAAATAAGATTGCTATTCTACTTGTTAGTTTAAAGATATATTAATTTTATTTAAAATAATAATAGTAGTACGAACGTTTTTAAATTTCTAAATAAATTATTAGTGTTATTATTTTATAAATTGTTCTTTTACACTAGGACAAAAGAGTAACTATTAATGACAGTTCGGATCTTACATTCGTTCATACAATTGTATAAAATTAACAAAGTTGCTGTTTGACCCAAGAGGATCTTTGTGTGTGTACCAATACTACCCGACCCAATAATCACTTCAAAATTATTATTATTATTTTTAAATATCTGAAAAACCTGAATAATTACAGATGTGCAATATTATAAATATGAATTAAATTATTTTAAAAGTTTAAATCAAACAATTTTTTTAGTTTTCTCGATAACTTTATAACTTAAAAAAATTACTTTAACTGAATAGATGTCTTTACAATGGTTTCTAAATAGTGATTTTTAGTTTTTATTGTATTAATAATTTCAAAAAAATGTCGCAAAAATAGGTAATGAAATCTTTTTACAATCGTTGATTTCAAATATTCTGAAAAGAATCTGTAATAATATTACTTAAATTCAAAAAATGCAATTCGGTACGACTTTAATTCGCAATAGCATTAGTTCAGCCTGTTATTTAAAGTAAAAAAAGATAATTTTTTATGTAAAATTTGTTAAAGCAGTGAAGTAATTTATTTATTTTTATAAATCGTATAGGCAAAAGTAAATATTTTACATATAAAACAATCTTACATTTACGTAATTATTGCTTATTTCATTTATCTGTTATAAACATCATCTGTTCAAATTTACTTATTATTATTTAAATTTAAAATGTTAATCGGTTTTAAAAATGATCATAGTTGTTCGGTAATTTCGAAAGTTTGAAACGAAAATTTGGAAGGATGACAAAACTCATACAACGAAAATAAACTTAATAATGGGCTTCCAAAATATCAATCATACTTAATGATGAAATCATTAATAATCGTACATTAGACGTAGATTTAATATAAATAGGTTTGAAAATATTTATTCTCATAGATTTTAGAGCTAAATATTTTTTCTGAATCTCGATACAAGTAGACCTATTAGTACAGTAGTCAGAAAATTAACCGAATATTAGAAGGCTAATAAATAATTGCATATATATATAATTGAAAGAGTATAAATGACATTGTCATTTATACTCTTTCAATTATTTCAGGTTCATATTCTAGCCATTCGAAGATTCCGGAAAGATCCTATGCTTTTTATCCTGGATCAGTACGAGATCTTATGAGAACAATCGTGATAACTATCAAAAATACTTCTTTTCCAAGCAAAGACTTTACCTCAATCGCGAGAAAACAATTTTAGCATAAGAGATTAAAATAAACAGGTTTCAGAGATTTCTAAGACCAAAGATTTATTAAAATTATTCGGAAGTTTGTCGATTACAAAGTTTTCATTTCCGAGTCTTGATTTGATTTGATAAATAAAAAGACTGATATGGTCACGAATGTCTTCCTCGGATTTGCAATGCTGTTGATATCTGTAATAATCTTAGATTGCTTATACTAATGAGACACAAAGAAAGAATAGTTTAAGACTGCTTAAGGATGTATCTCAGTCCCTGATTAAATAGAACAAGATGGGACAATTGCATGAAAGTGCCACACCTGTTTTTTTACCATTATATTTACCTTAGATTGCAGCAAAAACGGAATCGATATTGGTTTTAGAGATCAAGCTGATGAAATATTCTTCTTTAATATCTTCTATAGTGGAAAATATTGAAGAAATTTATTTGATCCTGTACTATTTTCCTAAACGTCCCAAAAATTCCCCCATCTTTCGTTCTCTCTCTTTTAAAAAGCAAACGGAACACAGTATAATCTGCGTTTTTTCATATTATTTAGGATGAAAAAATATGGAAAAACATATTACATGATGATACTGTAAACCCGAATGGTTCGTCATGATACCAGGCATTCTTCAGCATTATCGATCATTAGAGACATCGCGAAAGAAATTAAAATATATGCTCTCCACCTCAAATTAGTACTGCAGTGTCTTGCCCCTGTACATCGTGCTTTTCTTGTTAACAATGGAGTCGCACTGGTCATCTGTCTAACATCTTTCGGGGGGAAAATATTCGAATTGAAATAACACGACTTTCGGTTTGTAAGGAAGGTCTTATATAGTTAATCGGGTTTTCTGCCCTAAGTTTTCCATAGCTCTTCTCTTCTTTCATATATCTATCTCCATTCTCGACATTAAGGAAAGACGGGCAGTGGGAATTTACAGGTCTACAATTTTTTCAAATTGCAGTCCAACAAAATTGCGAATTATTATGTTATAAATCTTCATATACTTTTATGACAATCGAACATTTACATGAATTATTTGTCTTATTATTATTTTTGAAAACTAAGTTGAGTAATAAAGATTAACACTAGTAAAATGAGGAATATTTGTAGAGGTTATCATTATTAACGAATAGGAGTTTATGACTGATCTTTCGTAATGGTCAAATGATTATTTATATTTCTGATTCCGGTTCGAAGTTTGAAATGTTTTCATTGATATGATGATATAGATGTCTAATTACGACAATTTATTATAAATAATACTGTATTTGTTATTTTTTCAAATAAGGCAAAATACCGATGCGAAATCTAGGTTTCATTCGCCATATTGTCAGTATTTCTCCTATGTAATTGGGCTGCAATTTGAGAAAATTGTAGACCTATAATATCCTACTGTCGTCCGTCTGTCTTTCCTTAATGTCGAGAATGGAGATAGATACATGAAAAAAGAAAAGAGCTATGGAAAACTTAAGGCAGTAAACCCGATTAACTATATACGACTTCCTATAAAAACCGAAAGTCATGTTATTTCAATTCAAATATTTTCCCCCGAAATATGTTAGATAGATGACCGGCACGACTCTATTGTTAAAGGAAAAGTATGATGTACAGGGGCAAGCCATTACTAATTTGAGGTGGAGAGCATATATTTTAATTGGCCATCTGATTTAATAAAGTACGAACATCGATACTATACTGTACATGCAAGTAAGCGTAGTAAAAAGGTGTTCTTATGAAGGTTCCAAAAAATAGTTTATATTCGCACATGACGTGACGAATGACCCGGTTAAATTACAGAATCTCAAAGGCCAAAGCTCAACTTAAGAGTCAGTGATGACGAAATAATTTCAACAAAACGTTCTTAATCTCATCACATCAACTAACGATGACCTCAATAGAGTCATAATACAACTCTTCCCAACTGAAAGATGTTGATCGTGTGAATCGATTAAAGACAATAATAATTACAGCATCTAATAATGGATTATTATAAAATTTAATTGGTAGGATAATTGATTTAATAAATTAAATTGCGTTTATTCATTTTTATACGTTTAGAATTTGTGAAAAAGAGTAAATTTTGTCAAAATTATTTACAAAAATCTAGTAACTTTCCCGTCAAAACTTTAAAATTGCGGATGGCGCCGTCTGTTACGAGATTTTTATTTTTAAAACTTTGCTATTTTATAATAATTAATAATATAAAAACATCTTAATTTTGAGGGTAGAAATGACTTTTATAAAATAAAACAAAAGTGGCAAATGCTAATAATAAGTGATATCTTCGTTAAGTCCGATTCCACTCGAGATATGACAAGTGACCCCCCCTTCTATCTTCTTACCCTTTGACCTTTAACCACTGAATTTAACAGCATGATCCCCTAAAACACAAACCTCTGTAAAATTTCAGAAATTTTTGACGAAAGGCACCAGAGTTATTAAGCTTCAAAGTGGGTGAACAAAATGATGCCCCGTACACATACTAATATCCATACATAGAGACGAAAAACCCAACTTTTATTGGCATTTCTCGACGTTTCAAGGTTCTCCGAGTTCAAATTTGTAAAATTCTTGGGGTCATTTTTTTTACAGATTTCCATACTTTCCTTCTTCTATAAATAACAGCCGGGAAAGTATAAAAGGAATATTTTTTAACGATGCTACACCACGAAATGATGAATTTTGTGGGCTTAACGTGCTTTACTTGTTCTCAATCTTCCTTCTAATTACAATTTGCTATCAACAAATCGTTCCTCGAATACACTTTTGTTGAATAATCGGTCTCGTCGTCATACTAAGCTAATCAACGATAACTTGCAGTTAAGCTTTGGAACTCTCCCAAAAACACATCTGTCATCCTGTTTATTTCCATCATGTAACCAAATAACAGGAAAACATCACTTTCGAAGTAAGTATTTTTGTCAAAAAAGTATTAATTTATAAATATTTCGTTGTTTAAAAACGCTTGATAAGGTTATTTTTATCAATATAAATATAAGATGTAAAAGATTAATATTTATATTAAGGTAGGGGGTCCCATTATGGCTCGGTTTCCAGTATGGCTCAGTCCCCGTATCTTCAGTTTTTCATGAATTTCCATGGAAAACTTAAGATACGGAAATACTTTCGTCTATTCTTTTCCGTGGAAAGACGAAAATAGGAGGTATAAAATGACCAGTAACATTAATGGCAATCGTTAATTGATATTTCGCCCTTTTTCTCCGGAAGTAATTTGCCGACTCGTTTCTTTCCGTTCGTGAAAATGACTTTGTCATTTTTGTACACATTTCGTACCGCCATTTTATCAACATCGTAAATTCGAGAGTCAGAAAATTCGTATTATTCTAGCAGTTCATTAAGCTGGTCATAAAACCGATAGAATTATTCCGTATTAAACCCAATAGCTCGTGCAATGCTGACTCCGGAGTTCTAAGAACAACATCTAGATATTTTTTCTTAAAGCTATAAAAAAATCTTGTCCTGTCATTCTCTTCTCTTTATTAAATCGATGAGGAATTTTTAGATTATCTACTAAATCGAATGCCAATTTTAAACATTTCAATCTAGTTAGTGACATTAGACGGTTGTCTAGTTCTTTCACACGGTTATAAAATTGCATCGAATAAGGTCGTTTTCAGTGTACATTTTCCGACACAACTTTGGTTCAACAATTACCTCTTCGCCACTGTTCATTGCTTCTACACGATTTTGGANACATTTCAATCTAGTTAGTGACATTAGACGGTTGTCTAGTTCTTTCACACGGTTATAAAATTGCATCGAATAAGGTCGTTTTCAGTGTACATTTTCCGACACAACTTTGGTTCAACAATTACCTCTTCGCCACTGTTCATTGCTTCTACACGATTTTGGAGCTAGCGTTTTGGCACATTATATCTCTCAGCTGCTCGTCTTGTTAACGTGCCTTCTGTGACACATTTAATCGCTTCTTTCATTTTATTTTCGTCCCATTTGCCTCTTTTACTGATTCTGCCCTTAAATTTTGGCATTTTTATGCCGGTTCTGTAAATAAAGAAATACATTTTAATATATTACTTACTTATGATAAAGGTAAGTGAACAAAACCTATTTTTTCTTTGTTAAATTTAAAACTTACAGAACTGTCCGAGGACACCTACCATACTCGCGTACTTAGATTCTATGCTTTCATTAATAGTAATTAAATTATAAATGGAATTAAATAAATACTATTATAATCGTAAGATATTTTTTAATAGTCAATAACAATAAATAAATCAAGTCGAAATACTACCGTAACATGTAACTTACTCGGCTCTCACGCCACTACTAATTTTGCATTCTTTTGTACGCATTGTGAAACACGTTTATACACGCTTCTTTATAGTTGATACGTACTTGATTGTTTAGTAGTTCATGCACTTTCCCTACAGTATTTAGTTTTATTTTCTGTAAAATTCTACAGATAATCCATTTACAATTTAATTTTTGTTGTTATGTTTAAAAGATATTCCAAGAATCCTTTCTCCAACTATAGATTACGATTTTAAATTGAAAATATAAAAATTGAATAATGTTTATTATGTGGATAATACGGTTATTTTTATTTTACTCAATTGGTTTATAAAGAATTTTCAATTAATTCTAAGAATGCGGCTTACCTTTATATCGTAGGATGTATTCTAAGAATAAAAGATTATAATAACTTCTCTAAAAAATTATAAAAGTTCATTCTATAGAAAACTTTTTAATCATAAAATGATTTATTACATGAAATATTTTCAATTCTGCATAGCTTAATGTAAAGAAATATAATTCACATTTTTTTTGCTCTTTATTAAGATTACATTAAATTTTTCAAAGTATGCTTATATGAGCATTACAAACACTTGAAATTTTGAATTTCGAGCATATATATATGTTAATTGTATTAAAAAGTATATGTAAAGATTTGTCTTAATTGTTAAGAAGATAATAAATTAACAATAAATTCATATTTTCAACATAATGTGAATAAGGATTTTTTTCATTTTTAACTCTTAGCACCCACAAAGTGATCTTTCAATATCCACCGTGGGCTCGGTTAGGTCGACAATGGAATCCGGTGAATGACGGAGCTCAACATATCTGGAACTGACCTCCCAAAAAAAATTTGTGGGGAGTTGCTAGCTCAAAATACGATCCCAGGTCCCCAGAGCGATAAGACGATGCTTTAAATCGCTTAGACCAGAGCTATCCGGCTGAAAAGGAAATACTCTTGTTCATATAATTCGAGAAAGATATTTTCCCCAAATATGGTTTTCTTTCGATATTGTAATCCAAGGTAAAAACTCTAAATTTTATTATAACGTAATTATTAAAATGAAGAAGTAGTTATTCAAAATAGCTAACTACACAATTGGATTGCTGCAGGCAACTAAAATCAGAAGAAAATGTTGACTAATTTTATATATATAAAATAATTTTAAAGCATTATTGATATTCCTATAAAGTTATTTATTATTCTCAATCATAAATATCTCTAACTCTGACACGTCTATTAATCAAATATAACTCTTACAGAAACAAATACAGAAGAATGTGGTATTTTTACGAGTCGCTCTGACTGCCGAAAATCTACGATAATACGGTATAGTACAGATTACAGTTTAAAATTTCGTTACAAATTACGTTCGAACAGGTGGCCATTCTCAGCGAAGCAGTAATAAAGCCTGTGCTTAAGTTAAATAAGATCACCGCCTCATCGGATCACGTGGAATTTTTCGGGTTTTATTCGTGTGTCTAACACACTTAAATAGGGGTTAAATATCATTAAACTTATTTTTAATTCTCTCTGATCAATTGCCGCTTTAGAATTAAAATAAATGGACCGTTTTAGTTATTCACATCACCTAAAACACTAACCAGGCCTAATAAATTTGTTAAGTCCATTACAGCATATCTGTCATAAAGCTGGGAAAATAAATCAATTCAGTGAATATGTCATTACAGACTTAATTGAAAAACAATGATATTTTTCGTTTAAAAATGAAACGAAATGTATATAATAATTTGAAACAAAGAGTGCATTTTATAGTAAAGTGAAATTAAATACCGATTTCGCAAGAAGTAATTAAACTCGATAATTCAATACTCTACAACGACAAAATTAATGATTACAGAAGCGGATGTATTTTTTTATTTTATAATTTCACGAATAAAGACAAACAGTACTATAAAAACTATAAATCTTGGACTTTTATGTGTATTTCGAATAAAAACTTACAATCAATCATTAGAAAACAATTAAATAGAAACTTTGTCTCTAACGAAACAAATGAAATATTACACAATAGTATAACAATATGACATATGTTCGAATAAGGTCGTTTTCAGTGTACATTTTCCGACACANATTTTTATAAAAATTTGTGTAATTTTATATTTTTGAAATTTAAAGGCTGAACTAACAAAATAATAATGTATTATAAAATAAGTTTAAAAATTTTCAAAAATTACTTATAAACTTTTTTGAATAATACTGCTATTATAAATACACAGAAAACTGTTCCAACACTAATTAAAACATAACACATATTGATATACAGTCGACCGCCCTATAACACGGTAGATACGTTCCGTTCTTTATGAAATTGATGTTCTAAGAGTCCTTGAATACACGAGCCAATCACAGCCCGGCACGTATGCAGTTTACAGACTACGGCTGTTTGAAAGATTTTCTTCCATAAAATTAATCGATTCTAGACTAATTCTACCCAACATTTCCAAACTAAGTATAATTTTTTGGGAATAATCCATATAAACTATGCTATAAACAAAAAATTGTAGGATTACTTATCGAGTGTGCACCGTTCGACGAGGCCATTGCTTAAGCTTGTTTTCGTCGTGGAGCTTGTCATCGAATGGAGCTCGCGTGCTTCCTGATAAATTATTTTTTTTTGCGAAAAATTCGCTGAACTTTGTAGACATCATTAATATAAATATAATTTTTATGGACGTTAAAAAATAAATGGTTTATAGTAGGTCCGCTGCTCGTTTAAACTCAACGGTTTGTACAATATCCGCTATTGGTCTAGATTCGACCAATCCTGTCGCGACACGAGTCGGCGATGACGTTTTACCGAATTATACGAGTTTTTTTAGCGTGTTTGTACGAATACTGTCGCAATTTTTTCGCCATGATATAGGAATCCGAACTATATGAACTCGTGTTATAGGCGGGTCGACTGTAATAAAAACATGTTTTTAAACACAATAACTTAAAAAGCAAGAAACTAGGATATAAACTGAAGGGAAAGAAGAAACAAAGGACTAAAGCAGTGGTTTTCAACAGTGGTTTCGCGACCCACTGGGGTACCGTAATAACACTCAGGCTTCAGGAGTGCCGCGAAATATAGCTCTGAGCAACGCTTAACAGTTCTTACGAGTATTACTAAAACTAGAAAAAGACAATAACTCTATATTGCTAAAGATCTGCGTTGATCTGTATATAGACTACCTTTCACTTCTTCAAAATACTTTACTTCTTTCTTCACTTCCGGTTCCGGGGCTATACCTGAGTGCGGCCCGTACCAACCTCTATTTATTGCATTGCTGTATATAGACTACATTGAGAGGGCCAGACCGATGACAATGAGTAAGAAAAATTTCTCATTGTCAGGTTTTGAGAGGATATTTTTATATCCACTCGAAACCTGATTTCTCATATATATTAACTCTCGTGTATCCCTCAAAAACATCAAAATAAGATATACCTATTGTGTATAGTACTAATTTTTACTTTTCCAGCTGTTATATGTCATAGAAAAAGTACGGAGATCGGTCAAAAAAATGATCCCTTAAGATTTTTACATTTTAGACTCAGGGGACCTTAAAATGTCGAGAAATGCAAAACAAGTTGGGCGATTTTTCTGTACGTATGGATGTTGTGTGTGTGTGTGTTAAGAGGGCGATTTTGTTCACCCAGTTAAGCTTAATAACTCCTGTGCTTTTTGTCAAAAATTTCTGAAATTTTGCAAGGAAGTTTGTGCATTAGGGGATTGAGGCCAAGGCCGGTTCTGGGCTGCGTGCTAGAGATATTTGGCCGTCCCCATCATATAAATCTCGAGTAGATTTATAACTTAACCCAACCGATAGGAGTTTACCATATGTTTTTATTATAGTTCTGTATAGTTGATAGGGGTTTTAAAAATCCATAAAAATATTGGATATATTAATATGAATTTTGCCGAAATAAAAAATGTACAAGATATAAAACAGAAGTAACAAAATACATTCGTAAAGTTAGAACTGCATTCTTCTTGCTTTTTTATGTGCCTATTCATCAATAACATCTAATAATTCTAAACTTTCACACAATTATGGCTAACAGTCCTAGATTATTAAAATTTTCTGGAATCATTGACGTTCTTAAAATATGTTTTTTGTGTGCCTTCTTTGTTAATTTGAAGAGAAATATCTAAATCAAAACAATTCGTCTTCAGTCATTTCTCCAAATTCACAAAGAAATTTAAATACCGGTACATTATTATATTGATGTAGATTTTCAAATCTTTCCTGAATATCTTAAGGCTGTATCAACAATTATTAGACAAAATTGTATTTAAAAAAATTCTCTTGGATTTGGGATTTGTTCATCCGGACTATCATAATAAATATGGCGAACTTTAGTTATATTCGTTACAACTGGAAATTCTACTACTACATTTATTTCGGCAGCTAAAACTCCCGCATCCCTAAGATGTGGTTGCATTTAGAAATTTAACAAGCTCACTCAAAGTATTAAGAGATTTATTTATGTCGGATTGAAGGCACTGCAGCATTTTACTTACTACATCAATTTTTGAAAGAATATCGTTCCATATAACGACGGAGCAAATGAACTTGATGAGTCGTATGTTTTGTTTTCGTATCTCAGAAATTATCATCTATTATGTCATTTAAACTTTTTAAGACTTCATTTAATTGCATTCTGCGATGTCGTATTGCTTTTATTCCGCTTTCCCATCGCGTTGTCGTCCAACTTTACGAATTTCCGCATGGATCCTTGTAGTTTTCTGTTTTCCTTATCGTGTTCATTCTTCCGCTTGCGATAAAACGTACCACACTAACGTCTTGTTTTCCTATCTGATATACAGTATCTATAATAGTAATAATTCCTTGCTTACGTAAACAATTTTTTTTTTTTTTTTACTTTCAGATATGTAAAAATCTTGTAACTATCCAAACCTGACTAAAACGTGAATACCAAAGATTAATTTACACTAAATTAAATAAGCACATAATGAAAATAGTACCTGTCGTTTATTTTTTATCAGCAAAAGTTCTAATCTCACACGATTTCTTAGATTAAATTTACGCCTTATGCACCCATTGTCATATAAATTTGTCTTTCCGATACTACAATTAATCGAGTGCAAAGTGACCGGTTACAACGTATTTCTACTTAAGAAGTAGTTAAATAATTAAGAAATTAGGGAATTAGGAACGTAAATCTGTTGCATCCTTCGAGACATACTAGTGATGCACCAAAGAGGCACACCTTCTTATAAAAGATATAACAATTAAGTCTATATATTCCTAATTAATAACCGTATAATGTTTTTAGAAAAACATCACATTAATTAATTACTATAATAATATAGACTAACATTAAATAAAATGAAAGCTTTACTAAACTAGGACAAAGTTGAAAAAGATTTCGAATTTTCGGAAAACCAGGATATATCGAACACATTCCAAACCATTATTGAAGCGGAAATTTACGATAGAGGAAGAGAAATGTATAATTTTAAAGCAGGAAATGACATAAATATAAACGTCATTTTTAATTATACTTACCAAATAAAATTATTAATATATATATATTAATTATGTATATATACTTAAAAGATTTGTAAGAGAAAAATTTCGGGGGAGGGGGGGGGCATTTTTTCTTACGCAGGATCGTGGCGAATTTAAATTTAGTTAAAAAGCCATTCTAAATATAACGAATATTTTGGCACGTTTCGAATCGTGTTGATATTTATTAAAAAAATTAATTAAAAATAATAATTAAGCTTAAATAACTTTCTAATTGCTTTAAATATAAATTCTAATTAATTTTTATTTATATATAAAGCGATAAATAAGTTTTAAACTGACATTTAAACTAATCAATTAGATGTATTAACGTGTTATGTATACAAATAAAAGAGCGCAAGTTTTTAAAATTTCGTTCGATTAATGTATCAAACGAGAAGTAATGTCGGGTTTGGATTGGTGTCATGCGAATGGGTTGTCATAGTAACCGTGCCAAGCCAATGACAACATGGTCAAAAGCGATGATATTCGCGGAATGCGGCCGATTAGACAGGTGAGAAAACATCTGGCTGCAGCTTGGCATTTCAATGTGAAATTTTCCACCAAAGACATTGGATGATTTTTACTAATTTTTTGTAAGTAAATTAATATATTTTTTAAAAATAATATTAGAGTTAAAAACAGTTTTTTTTTTTACCTCAGAAAATTGTGCGATTTAAAGTTTTCCAAGCTCGTATTATTTCGATATTTTTATGCTAAGCTATTAACATCATTTTATCGAAAGAATTTATGTTAGAGTGTAATAAAAAAAAAAGCAATGAAACAATGACCTCAATATTTACAAACTGTTATTATTTCTATTTAATTGTTAACTTTCACGGATTTTATCCGAATTTAATTCGTCTGTATATAAGTATTAATTAGCAAAAGTAGAATGTCGAAGTAATTTAGTTTTGAAATATTTAATTAAAAGTAATTTATTTATTCGACTGGAAAATTTTAACATAACTTCTACTAGATGGCGCTATAAGTCACTTAACCTAATTAATATAATATATAAAATTTCAGAAATATTATGATTAGAATTTTATAAATTATTTAAAATTCTCGATAAAAGTCGAAAAATAAATATTGTTAAAAATATTATATAATTTTAATTTAAAAATTCGAATTAAATTCGTATTAAATATTTAAAAAAACCGCAGAAAATAAAAAAAAAAAAGAAAATTTTACATTGATATTAAATGAAGAATTATAATAAATTATCTTTGTGGCGCCATCTAGTATCAAACGGGAAGGTATTGTCAGGTGTGCTTGTGACGTCATGGCGCGTGTTGTGTTGTGTGTTACAGTCTGAACTGAGGTGGTGTAGGAGTTCGAGAACTGATACAAGTCTGTAGTAAACAATTATTTTTACGAACAATTGAGCGAAATAAGGATAACATAACCATTGCAGACGAAAAGGAAATAAAAATCAAGATAAAGCTATAACATCGGCAGTTTCAATGCATTTTGTTCTAATCGATGGAGCACAATGGCTGCTGTGGTCTAAATATTGGTGAGTCCTATTCTGTTCGTATTTAACGATTAAACGCCATCGTTTTTTTTTCAATGAAACAATTCGATTAATGCAATCGAATCGATGGAAAATGAACTCCCGACATTTCTTGTATTAAACTCCCGCGAACGGAGTGTCGGACTAACAATGAAAATTTTCGCAGCAATTTTCAGTAATTACAAGAAAAATGCCGTATCGAAACTACTTCCAGTAAATCAAACGATTGTTATGAATTGTTTTTATTATTATATCCATCATACAATAAGGATATCAGCACTTTACTTATCTATTGAAATTAACAATAGCATTAGAAAACAGTGTTGAAATTGACATCATTAATAGTCACGATGTCTGTCAGCTGTTTAAATAGCATCTGAAAATTTCCTTATATTGTTATAAAGTATTGTTCGGTTCTGTCGAGAATTTTACATATTTCGGATAAACAATACGAGAACAATTAGTATTAAATGTTCTTTTACTTACTTGATGCATTTATTTATATGTATCACCTTATTGTTTTATGAGTGTATCGATATAAGTAGTGTTGTTTTGTTTTCTTTATTTATCTGTTAAGAAATTGGCGTTCTTCATAATTTATTACAGAATTCATTCCAATTTTCTACCTTAGATGCAGGTGACATCGATTTTCCCTCAAGGGTATTTTTAAATTGGAATAGAACGAAATATTTTGTTTTCCTGTTTATTCTTTACGATATCGAGTTTATTTTTTGTCGGTAACTTTTTGTTTCTTACGACAATATATATATATANATAATATATATCTTGTAAAATTGCAATTTAATATAGTAGACGTAGTAAAATGAATTATATTCGTAAATCATTAAATCTATCAAAGTTTTGAGTGCGTAACGGGATATAATTGTTACCTTAACACTATCGTGCTTAATTTTCCACCTAGTTAAAAAATAATTGTAAAAAAAAAACGAGTTAAAAATTCTTTAGGAAATTACTTTTATTACTTGTGTTTTATGGCACGAATAGTTACTAAAAAGTATTAAAACGTCAGAACAGAATACGTAAGAAATTTGTGATGTATAATTGCCTACATAAATTTTTAATAATGTACCATAAATCGCGTTCGATTTGTGTTTGCATACATTTTTTATTTTTTTACATGAAAATAAGTGTTTTATAAAATGGAAAATACGTGGCAATTTAATTTCTTTTGTCTTTTCATACGTAAATTTCTTTCGAAGTGCAACCTGTTTGCATAGTTTACATATGATTCACACAACTTGATATGCGGGTACTAGTGTGACGTAATGTTTTTATCCTTAGGCTATTGGTTACAGTGATAAATGGCGCGCTTCTGTTCTTAGGTGACGGAGAACGCGGGAGGAAGTATTATTTCTTTGTCGTATCGTTAACAGCAACGAATTCATAAAACCAATAAATCAGTTTTAAGTTTAATAAGTAGAGAGAGATAGAAAAAAAAAGAATATTTTCTGTTTTTACTAATCGAAAACCTGTATCTCTGGGGTGTTCTTCGCGTGAATTTTCGAAACGGTCGAATAATGCCAATAATTGTTTTTCGCTATAATTGAGATACTCCGATCGATTTATCCTATTCTAATTCCGGATTTTAAGTTGCATTAAATATTTATTCAGGTAAACGACCACACAGATGTTTAGTCCGGTTTTCTTGACAATACAACGGAAATGTGACGTCAAAGATGCCAGTCGGCAATCGTGACCGCATATTCAACACAAGCAAACCGGTACCGGGTTAAAAATAGTAATGGGGAGAAGAAGGGTCGACAGCACGTAATGCTAATTATTTATACGTTTTTTATGTATTATAAGCAATTCGTATGACAGTTATCAGGAAAGTATAATGTAAGCAGTGATGTCAATCGAACATTGGAATCACGTGGCGAATTGTAAGGCCATTTCGCTTATACCGTTCTTACCGCTTTATACTACAACGCTCGAGGCGCAAAGTAAATTGCTGTTTGTGAAAAAGGGTGTATATGGATGAGTCATACTTTTGGGGGTCATGGTTGATTGCAGTGGGGCGTGTTAAAACGGGTTTCACCGTAGCTTGGTCCGATTCTACCTGTTCTAGCATTTGTATACCTGACACTGTTACAATAAGAAAAGGCGCACTTTGACCAGTTAACTGGGTAAGTGGACTTATTACGCTTGTGTTTACTGCAATTTTTGTAACTGTGGGAGTTTAATTTATAAACATCAACTCATTTATACGTGTAATTCTGTTTTAAGCGTTCAAAAAAAATCATATTAGACAAAAGCTATATTTAATTTGCGGTCTTTTCTTCGAGATGACAAACATTAGTTTATGGATTCTAATCTAATCAAAAATACAAACAGTTTAGATTTATTTTATTGTAAAAATGTAATCAGTTAAAATGCTACTTCAAATAGATAAAAACTGAAATTGCAATGAAAATATGTTTAAAATGCAATATCTATATCAGAAATATCAAAATATTAAAAAAAGAAATTGATAACCTTGATCTTTGATATATATAATGTATGTGCAACAAATTGTATTATTATTCTATGGATTAGAAATTCAGAAAATAGAAAGTGAGGTTATTGCTTAATTATATTTATTTATAATTGGTATGATTTTTAAGAGAAATATGTTTTATGTTGTTTGTTTATGCTGGAGTTATGAAATATAATAAATTATTAATTAAAACTACGAAGCTTTTATAATGCTTCTTTTATAATCCTTTGTTATAATAAGTTTAAAAAAATCATAAAAATGACTCTGATAATAGTTAGTTTGTTAATATATTATTATTAATAAAATTTTAATTAAATAAAGGTTTATTTAAACAAATTAATTTATATATACTGATTGAAAGTAATTTCATTTTTTTTTATTTATTAAATCTAAAATAACTAACAAAAATTATGCTAGAAAGGAATTATTTAAATGAATTTAAAAAATTACTTGAAAATCCTTTTGTAATAGACAATTAAAAATATTAATTATTTGTCTTATAGTCTATTTGGATATTCTAAAGCAGTGTTTTCCAACCTTCTTGAATATGCGACCGCCTTGCAAGTTAAAAACTTCTGGCGATCCCCCTAGGGCCATATTAAAACTATATTAGTGATTTTAAAAACTACATATTTAATTTTCTTTCTGTTGAGACCTAAATGTCGATCGAAAAACCAATTATACTGTAAAATAAACAGGTATAGCCTTCTCACTGAAATTGTAGTTTTTTTTTTATTGTAGTGTAGGACCTACAAACACTTGTCTTTTTCTTTTACCCGCGACCCCCCATGTAAGNCAATATTCCATAATAAAATCCAAACAAAGCAAAAAATACAAGCTGGCCATCTTCGTACTGGGCCCCCTGACTAGAGTCCGGTAAGTCACTACCATGTGGGGCCATGATTTATGTCAATTTCCAGAAAATTTATGAGAAATGCTTTCTTGCAGAAGTTCCCTAATAGGAGTTGGGACCCCAAATGGGGTTACCAATTCTTCTTGTGGGATTGCATAAACTTCTTTTCATAAACATTTTTCTGTTTAAAAATTTTGTAAAACTTAAAAGATTCCTAATAAAAAATGCAAGTTGAAACAATAAATTTTGTATGAAATTGCAACATCAGCACTGACTAACATCAGCAACATTGATTATGCTAGTCATAACCGTTTTGCATTTTGTATCAGAAGAATAATATAGATACCCAGAAATGTTGTAGTTGCTATGTTTTCTTTGGCAATTGTGGTCAATATAAAGATAATTTTTGACTGCAAAAGAATATAGGGGACATTCAATTGGAGAAGATTAGTTTCAATTTGGCAAGTAAATTAGTGGATATTTTTCTCTATAATCATTTAAATACAAATTATTGTTAATGAGACTAGCTGATCTTTATAAAATGTAAAATTGATTCAATTATTCATAACTGAGAATAACTATTTTTTATGATTGCTATGCGATTATTATCCTAGTCACAGTACACAAGTTCAAATGTAATAATCAAATTATGAAATGCAATTCTTTTAGCTTTTATAATATTTCAATATATTTTTGTGTACATTTTATTTTACAGTTTTTACAATATATTTGTATATCCAGTTCTGGTGATGTTTGATCTTATAAAAACATTTAAAATGCAATAAATGGAAAAGCCCAATTAAGTTGTATAAATCTAGTGTCATCTTGTATTGCTGCTCTATATGTACATAATAATGAAGAAATTTAAATGAACTAGAATCTTGACTATCAGAGATAACATACAGACTGGAATGTCTGATCCAAATTACACAAACACCTTTCTTTTTCAGCAAAATAAGTTTTATTTCACTAAAGTTTTTGTCCTGTTAATAGGACTTCCTCAGGTTACACAAAAGAATGTTTGTCAAAACTTATTCTAAAATTGAATATACTGTACTCAAATAGAACATGTATATTTAAATAGGAAAAATGTTTGTTCCAACTTATTATCTGATTCTCAAGTAACCGAGGTTTTGCATTACTTAAAGCAAACCTGTAAGTAAAAACACTACTTTTTATATCATAATTCATAAAGTTTTTGCTGTGAATATGCTGAGTGTGTAAGTATTGTAGTACTTTTAGCCTTGACTATACTGAGTGAAAGGCTGATGCTGAGGTGACAATGGAACATTACAGCAAAGAAGAGAGGAATTGCTATGAAAATAAACACTCCAAAAGAGTTTTTTTCAAAGTTTTAAACATCAAAACAAAGCATTTTGTAGTACATGTTAACTTTTTAAATTTGATTTTAATATGACACAAACTATTCATATTAAAATGTAACTATAACAATACACATTTTTATTCTTAAAACTATTGTACATAATGGCTATATTTTAAATGATTTAAAAAATGTTGTTCTTATATTTGATTAAATTCAATAAGATGTAAAAAAAGAAGCTTAAAAGTGATACCATATAAATCTTTTATATTTGTAATTTTAAATCTGAAATTACCATGACTGTCTGTTTTATCTGAGTTTTTGGTTAACTGAGGTAGCATAGGTTCACATTACCTCAGATAACTGGGGTTCTACTGTATATTAAAAGAATACAGATAACAAAAATATATAGGCTTATTTTTCTTATCACAAAAACTACTGACATACAGTATTGTTTTTGCTTTATTCAGAAAATTATTAAAAGATCTCAGCAGAATAAAAACTTTTACCAATAAAACAAAATAAACAATAAAACCAAAGTAATGCAGAAAAATGCATTGCTAATGTTAGAAATATGTTAATAAAAATAACTATATTATCCAAAAAGACAACAGTTGTAAGTAAAAGAAAAAATAGTGAAGAATTTCTAAAAATATGGATTTCATATAAGGAATTGAATGATGAGCATTGATCATTTTATATAATTTGTGATAAAACTTTAGCAAACTAGAGCTTGAAAAAAATATGTCAGAAAAAAAAAATGTATATTATATTTTTGTAAAGAAATCTTTTCATGTATCTCAAAAATTAAACCTTAATTAAGTAAGCTTTGTGATAAAATGCAAGACCATTCAAAATGACTGAATTAAGTAACTTTTTAAATTTGTCTTTTATTATTTTTATGTTAATTAGTTTTTGAAGGAAATGGTTAAATTTTAAAATGAATTTTATCAAATAAATTTTTTTTGGATATAGATTCAATGTTGGGGCTGCAAAAATAAATGGAGTCATGGGAGAAAAAGTCAGGAAACCATTCCTTTATTAAAATGACAAATGAAGAAGAAAACAGGGATCCTGAAAGTTTGTTGGTTCTATCAATGTTTGAAAAATTATTAAAAATTCAAATATTGTAAATTTAAACTATTTTTTATGTTTTAATTTTAAATGAAATTTTGAAAAAATATGTAAGCTTTTACAAAACTATCTAATTATATACATCCACAACTGATTTGCTTAATATAGTGGGTTTCGGTTGTGTATATTTGTCTATCTAATTATTATGGTAAAAAGGATAAAGTAGAATTGCATAATTAAAAATTGGTTATATTAGTAAAAATATCAGTTATAAATAATTGGGTACAATTTGAAAAAATTTTAGCAGAATTCCCATTGTCATCCGTCTGTTCATCTGTCTGTCTTTCCTTAATTTCGAGAATGGTGTTAGATAAATGAAATTGAAGACCAGATATGGAAAATTTAGAGGCAGGAGGCTTCGAGTAACTATATATGAACTTCTGATGCAAGCCAGAAGTTACATTATTTGAATTCAAAGATTTTCCCCTGAGAGGAATTAGATGAATGGCACTTGCTAATGGAAAAGTATGATGTACAGGGGCAAGACATTATCACACTAATTTGAGGTGGAGAACATATATATTAATAAATTAAAAATAAGATTAAAAATTGCAGCCTGTCATTGAGAATGTCACAATAAATAATTGCTCATTCAATGTAATTTTAAATTTTACAATATAAAATAAGTGTAATATTTAAAATATATATACTGTATATTCAAATAAAAATGAAATACAAAAATCTTCATAATTAAGCTCAGTGACCATCTAACATATATTGTATATACCATATATAACACTACCTACTTACCTACTTTGGTAAACTTTGTCAAACTTTGGCTTATTTAGGGCTTAACAACATGTTTGGTTATGCAACAAGTACTGTATAATCTGTGGTCCATGAATAGCATATTTAGTGAAAATATTTTATAATTTTTATTATAATTAATACAATGTTAATTATGCTACAATTTTCAAATTGCAAACCTATTGATTTTCAATGTTGTCCAACTGTCTTTCCTTAATCTTGAGAACAGAATTAGATAGATGAAAATTGAGCCAAGTATGAGAAACTTAGGATCTGGAGATCCCAATTAACTATATATGAATTGCAGCCTGGCATTGTGACAATGTCAAACAATATGTATTTATGTTAAGAAAAGTTAACAATTTTGAGAAAAAAATATGTAAGAAGCACCAAAAGTTTCAGACAACCTACTGTAAATGACTGAAAGACGAGTATATAAAAGATTAATGTCTTATTAGTATTTGATGCAAATTTAATGTCTGGGTACTGAAAGTGATATATAGAGGACTTCTGTATATGATATGGCAGCAAATTTTAAACTAGAGTATCAAGCAATCATCAAATTTCTTACAAAAGAAGGCCAAACATCCTTGGA